AAGAGTCACTGACACTCAGGTTTCTTTCCGCTGGTGGCGCGCTCTCCGGTCGCCTCGGTAGTCTACACGTGACGTAGTCTACAAAAAGGGGCATCTACGGAGGCCGCCTGCTCTTATGGGGCGCAACCGTCCGGCGATCACTAGGCTGGACGGCTGCTCAGCAGCTCAGTGTCGCGCTTGCCAGGAAGCTGGGGCTTTGCTCCAGCAAGGTCCGCACACCGGACGGGCAAACGTACTTGCTTCCATGAAGCTGCTGCAGAAGTGGGCGTCTTTGAGCCGTTGCTGAACTCGAGCTTCGCCTTGCTTGAAGTGGCACAGAGCGATGCGGCCCTCCGTGCACAGGTGGATGTTGGAACGTTCAGAAGCAAGATATCCAGCAGGCTTTGGGTGTACGGGTGGCAACGACAGAGTGCGCCTCGTCGTATAAAGCCACTGTGCCGCCGTGCGATCCCTGCAGAACTTGTGGAACTCCACACAAGGCCGCATCTTGGTGATCTTCTCGGCTGCTTCATCCACGGAGGTGCCCATCATGAGCGCATAGATGAGGGCTGTGCAGGCAGGAGCCCGATGCTTGCCCGCCATACAATGCACAAGCACTGAATCACCACAATGAAGGCTCTGGTGGATGAGAGGCCATGCCGCTTTGAACTCCTGATCCATGCGCTTGCTGCCCATCTGCACCTTCATGACGCATGCCTCCGGCAACGACACGCCCCCCCCCGACCCTCGGGGTATTGTGGTAGACAAGCGATCTGGAGGTGAGCCTTCGGGAAATGTTGCACTGTCTCAGCGATCGGAATACCGGAGAGCCACAGCTGGCCACCTGACCGAGTCGTCATGATCAGGGTTGGGGCGAGAGTGTCACGCCCTTCTGAGGTGGCCAACCGGTCCCAGTGAGATTGCTGAGGTCCTGGCGACACTGCTGGAATAGGCAGGGTGCTCGGTGCTGGGTCTGAAGACTGTCGCCAAGGAGGCGTTCTGGCCAGCGGTGGAGGCGAGGGATCCCGCGGACCTCGCGGCTTCTTCTTGGCCGACGTTGCAATCAACTTGGGCGGAACCGCCTTGGATGGAGGTGCCTTCGGAGGCGTCTTGGGCCTTGGAGAGAGGGCCTCTGCTGCATCAGGCCGAGCACTTGGCTGGGGCGATTCCGCTCGCCGGCGTTTGGCTCGAGAGGAGGGTTTGGCCTTTGAGGACGTAGTAGAAGAAGCTGACGCCGCCGCCGCACGAACTGGAACTGGCGTCTCGGCCGCCAAGTACTTCTTTTCGGTGCAAATAAATGCACCGTGGCTCCCGCCACAAGCCCGCCCCCGGGCCAAAAGAACAGCGCAGAGGTGAGCGTTCCCGCAAACCTCCTCTCCTTCTGCGCACCCCTCGGGCATCTGGAAAGCCCCGCAAAGGCGACGCCCATTCTTCAAGAAAGCCGTCAGCACGCGGCCTCGGATGGCATCCGGCATGGATACCGTCTGGCGCGAGGTGCTTCCTCGGATTTTGTTGGCCGCTGCCTTAGCGACTCGGGCCCTGGAGAATTGGAGGTGCGTCTTCAGCGACTCCTTGGTTGGCTGAGCCGCATACCTCGTCTCCTTGTCCTTCGCGATGGCCATGGCAAGCGCGTCTTTGGCCACTTCGCGGAAACCATCCAAATCGGCAGGAAGCACCTCCTCCCAAAAGCTGTGACCCTCACAGCTGTGGGCCACTGAAGTGGCCAGGATCTTGTTGCGAAGGGACTGGGCATACCGAGCTGACGAATAGTGCAATGCCATCCCTGCTTCAGCCGGCTCTTTGGATTTGTCCTGCCAATCGCCGAGGGAGCAAAGATCAGACGACGACAAATTCAGAATATGGCCCACTGTGGGAAGCATTCGTCGCCAAGAGTAGGTGGTCAACTGCTCTGTATTGTCCAGGAACTCGGCAAAGATCGACTGGCATAGGTGCTGAACCTCAGCGATGTTCCAAGGCGTCCCACGACCGTCAAAGCAGATCCCTGCACTCTTCTGGGCCACCGGAGAGAGAGCCTTCCAGGCTTTGAGCCACTCCACAGTCCAGTTGAAGGTGGAGGCAAACTCGGCTGGAGCACACCAATCAAAGCCGCCACGAGCATGACGCTGCTTGCCTTTGCGACAGTGGCCGTGGAACACGAGTGGGCTGATGCGACGAACGGTTGAGCGGCGAAGATGCTGGTATCGCAAGCAACCCGTAGCCACCAGCCAAGAGCCGAGAAGACATGTCCAACGCGGGTCCCCCCCCACGGCACATGCTCTCAATGCGTTCCTCCAACAGCTGCAGCATGCCAGGCTCCACAACAAGGGCTTGGCTCTTCGTAGAAGTGGCCTTCTTCTTCAGCTCCGGAGAGATACGAAGCCGGGCCACTTCCCAAGGAGCTCCAGAATGCTTGCACAGCCAACGAAGCGCATTGAGCGCGCGGGTAGGGGCCATCGTCCCCTGATGCAGGAAGTTGTCCATGTCCACAAAGTCCGGAGGGAACGACCTCCCGCGGTGGAGCAAAAAGGCGTGGAGCTCCCCATAGGTGCGGAGAGCATTCTGAATCGTCACCGACTCAGACTCCGCCACTTTGGTCTGGGCCAAGCGAAGGACGGAGGCCTGCCAATCCCGCTTCAGGCTTCAACGCCCCCACGGTCAGGAACACCTTCTGCAGGGCCAACACTTGGCGCTGTATGGACTCGGGCTGATCCTGCACCCGCTCATGAAGGCGTACCCCCGCCTCAAGTGGAACTTCCTTCCGCTTGCGAACCAGTGGAGGACGTGTATCCGGCAGCAGGGGACCCCCCTCAAGCAAGCGCGCCGCCGCCGGGAGAAGTTCATCCTGCTGGGCAACCCGGACTGCTAGCCAAGCGTCCGCCAAGAAATGGCCTCCCACGGCCACAGCTTCCTCCCAGGTAGAGAAGGCAAAGGCGAAGTCCTCATCTTTCTCATAGCCCCGTTCCCGGCGCCATGTGATGGCACGGGCCCCTGCCACCCTAGCAAGGCTGTCTTCGGCTCGCCAACCAGAGGACGAAGCCGGTTCGTCCGGCGGAGCGTCCACCGCTCCAGCGACTTGTGCACGGTACACCATGGCTTGCGCACCCGCTGAACTACCCACTATCGTCATCAGACGACGAAAGTTCGCGGCAGACCGGACAGATTTGGAGCACTGGGAAACAGGCGGAACACACTCCTTTGATACAACCAAGGCACTGCCGATAAGTGGGATCACCACAGCCGCAACACGCTGGAGGAAACTCCGACTCTCCGTTGATTGAGGACCCCAACCATCCACGAAGGGCTCGATGGGCACGAATCTTCGGGTGAAGAGCTTCCAGGCGGCGCGGCAGATGCTCAAGATCTGGCAGTGGGGCACGAAAGGGGTTGGACCACAACCCATGTGGTGATCCCATGATCCAGTGTCGCATATAATAGAGAACTTCAGATTGAAATGTTTGCAGGGGCAAGAGGTCAAAATCCCCAGGAACCTTCTGCTGGAACTCCCACAGATAGGAGGGCACAAAATTTTCGGCAGAGTACGGGGTACGGTAGGGCTGCAACAAGAGGAGGTCCATGTTGGCGTCCAACCGAGCATGCCTATCCCAGGCCTGCTGAGGAGTGAACCCGGATGGCACGATCGTCCCGCGCCGGTTCCAAATCCCGACCCACGGGAAAACATAGCCCCCTCGCCCCTGATCGCACCGTGGGCAGGCACTCTTAGGACACACTGAGATCCGCATAGGGGGGAAACCAGCTGGCCCGTCCCCCGGGCGTGAAGACGGAGGCATGTGCTCGAAGAGAACCACCGAGCTCCAAAGCCGCATCGCGCCTGCCCGGTCCCCCCGGGCCAAAAGGGCATCGACCTGGCGACGGAACTCGATGAACGCGGCGGACGAAAGCACCTCAGCAGCCGTGAACATGGCGACATGCACACCGACGATAGGCTGTGAAGTCATCCACAGCACACACCGCAAAAATTAGCAGAACAGAAACTCCACTGTCCCACTTTTGGCTTGAGCCAAAATGGACAGTGTACCAAATGTAATGAAGACTGTGCACCCAAACCTGCCCAAAGCTCGACACAGTTTTATATATGTGCGGGTCCCTTGATTCAGCCCACGGTTCCACGGGCGTGGGCTGAAGTTCCTCGGCCTGTGCATCCATATGAAGGCCATTTGGGTGGGCTGATATCTCGATCATTCACTCGAAAAACCAACACATCCTACATGACTCCTGGCATCCTATCAAACAAACTCAAAATCTCCCTCCAAATATATACCTATATAATCCTATATACATCAGGTGGGATTCTAGTTGTGATTTGATCAGCTCTTACGCCAACGTACTCTGTACAGTACTATCGGAGTGGTTTGACCGGAGCTGAATTTCAACCGCCTTGCAGTCTTGGGGATTTGACCTGCTAAGACTCCCGCGGAATACAGGAAAGGGTAGGGTAGAACATGGGAAGGGACTAACCTGGGTTCTTCAAGGCACACCTTGAACACTCCTTCCCCCAGTCTTGGCCGCTTGAAGACACCAACTTGATCCATCCAAGCCGCTTCGGCTCACGTAGCCATCCCCGTTGGCCTAGCTCACGCTGCATGGCTATCGTTCGGCCATGGGACCCAGTCATTGAGAAGTAAGAACCCCCCGTCTAGCCGTCCTAGCGTCCGAGGAGCGTCCCTATATCGCTTTCGGAAGGAAAAAGGACGGTCAAATCCGCAACACGTGAAACAAGTGTCACTTGCTGCACGCCGGAACCCGGCAGCCAACTTGTTGTTGCCGTTCTGGCTACAGGCCTTAAGCCTTAAGGCTCCCTAGATTGTCAGAGTTGGCCGCAATAGAACTTCTTGTAGGAGGCGAATTTGTCGGAGATTTGCCATACGGCCTCCCGTCTGATTCTAAACTCTACCATGCTCTAGCACTGTCTGTTCTCGTGCCATCTCGTCCCATGCATACGCATAGTTGTCGCAAAAAAGCTTTCGTCCAACCACCTCAAAACATTCTGAGACCAATTCCTCTCACCCAGCACCAACCCAGGACCCATCTTCGGCCATTCTTCGCCCCCTCCGTGGCATCGCGCTCCAAACGTCGGGTCTCCGCGCGTCCAGACGGTTGAAGCTGCTCCGCAGGAGCTCCACGTCGACCAGCCCCACGGCGGGCGCCAGGGCGGCCACGAAGCGCGAGAACTCCACGGTGCCACCTGCGTCGCCCGTGGCTGGCGCGCGCGCGCTGCGTGGCCCGTTACGCCCCAGGATGCATGGAAGGAATCCCGGTTGCATCAAGGAGAAGACCGGCTTTTTGAAAGGAAGGGCTGATATGGGCTGATGGCTCCATGTATTGAGTTGGTTGAATGGTTTTCACCCTCTTCAGCCTCAAGAAGAATGAAGCACATGAAATGCCAAGAGCAACAGACTGCCACCTATTCTTCTTCCCATCCCACTCAAGGTTGGTGGATTTTGTTGCTTTCCTATCTGATCTCTCGTGAGTAGAGCCATTGTCATTGACTCGGGAGTTGAATGATGTGCCAGAGGTTGTGCAACGTGGCGGCACAAACATCTTTATTTACCTCACATACCCGGACATGCCCAACGGTGCGCCACCCCAAAGTGACCCATCTGTCCGGCGCTGCACCTGATCCCTTGGCCAAGCGCTTGGCCGCCTGCTGCGCTGACTCCGCTGCCAGGCCTGCAGCCTTCAAGGCTTCGGCCAACTCCGCCTCGGAGCATTTCGCGGGGGATCCCTGGTGCGAAACGCAACGACAGCGGTGCTGAACGGAGACGCCATGGTGGCTCAATGAGAGCATTCCAATGCCAGCCGGTAGACAGGGGATGTTGCAATGTCCGTCAACAAGCCCCTTTCTGATCCCAAAGCAGCCCTGTTCTCAGACCTAACTCCTACCCCAAGATGGTCTGAAGTGTTCAGGAGAAGAGTTTACAACAACGGTTGCATGCCATCTGCAACCCGTTGCCGATATGTAGAAACACACATTCATCCCACCAAAGCCTACCCAGCCGTTGATCCCACCGACGACGGCCCCCTCGCCTCGTCCAGAATCCCATTGCCATCGGTGTCCATGGACTCGAAAAGGCTAATCATTTCTCCTCGGATGGCAGAAGCTAGCAGTGACATCGTGCCATTTAGATCTATTTAGGAGGCCATCGCTAGCAGGTTGGAGGCCATCTCTACTTGTGTGGAGGCCATCACTCACTAGGTTGGAGGCCATGGCTACACAGCTGGTAAGCTAATCATCGAATCAGCGGGATCAACAATTGGACATCCCCTACATTTAGATATAATGACCACAATCCAGGATAATCCGGGCATGTATCATGTGATATGTGATCATATTACATGGCAATCTTCTTCCATGAGTTTTGGACCGCCACATCCCGGCACCCTCCGCATGCCAAGCATCGGAGTTGCCTCAAGGGCAGTTGCGAGGAGAGATCCAACAGGACTGCCTGGAGCGAAGTGGGCCGAGAATTCGACCCCGTCAAAATTCGGAGATGTCGATGGAAAAGAGAGGAAGGGGCGCTCTTCGAAATGGCTTGTTTTGCCAAAGCACTAAGTGAGCGGGAAGAGCTTGGTGAAGCTGGGAAGGTGCATTCCAAAGTCAGCTACAGTGACGTGAACTCAGGTTGCTGAGGCAACCTTTCTTGACTTACCCAACCTGGATGCTGGGATGCTGGTCACTGGTCACCCTGAAAGTTTTGCAAGAACCCCCGTGCGTGATGTGCCCATGGAGATGCAACATCACTACCCTTGATGGGTTCTTCACTGGGGCCGGCACCAGCATGGAGCAGCTTCAGAGCTCAGAGTCAATGGTAGGAACCGGAACTGACCCCATAGACACCTTCTTCGAAGAAGTAAGCAACTCCATGGACATCGCATGTGTCGTTTCCACCCATGTCCACCCCTGTCCAGGGCTCACGGACCCGTGAGCTCGCTTTTTCCGTGGTGTCGGTGGAACCGTGGCCTGTGCCAAAGGATTGATGCGATGGAACTGCAGCAAGCTCTCCAACTGCTCGTGGCTGATCTGTCCCGAAGACTTGGAGCTCTGCAGCCATGAAAAACCTCGAGAGTTGAGCGGGCGGGGGGTTGCGTCCCCTGCATCACGCACGGGAAGTGGCCGGGTGCCCGCTGATGTACTACTCGGCTGCCCGCCGCGACGTCCCGCCGCGTGGTCCCACCAGCTCCAAATGCATCTCATACCTTCCTTTCATCCACTGTCTGGCCGGGGCCGGCTGGGGCTCCCGAACTCAGGGCTTGCCGCATCGAAGGTCGCGGGTCCTGAAGGCAAAAATGCACGGCACTCGGTGAGCCCGCGCCTCCAACCACCCAAGGACTGTGCATGAATCAAACCTCCCCCAGGTTGGGAGAGGAAAAAACCGTTCTGGTAGAGGGATGTAGGCAGGGATAAAATTTCATCAACTGTCTACAGTCTACATGACCATTTGGGATGTGCTGGCACAGCACCTAGCTCGTCTGTGCATCGAAAATCGTCCTTGTCGAAGGTCAGCAACTTAGCAATCAGCTCCTGGTAGCTTGCACGGGGGATGAACTGCAGTCAAGTGGGGCGCCCCCCCTCCATCGTGGCCTCTTGAATCATCATCGCCAGATATGATGATTTGACACCGACTTTTGGAAATATGATGTCATATAACAACAAGGGAACCTGAAACGAGCGTTCTTGTTTCAAAAATGTGTGACAGTGTTTCAAGACATCCTAGCCGCAAACACTGAAACAACTGACGCGACCTATGTATGGTTCCACTATGTTCCACTTGGGTGTGTGGAAACATTCCCAGACCATCCGCTCCTTGGCTTCTGCAGAGCATTCCAAGCGCTTGAAGTCTGGACCCTCCTTCTGCCGTACCAGGTAGGCCTTTAGCTCCTGCGCCCGTGGCGCAACTGGAGCATGCACCAGTTCTCAACTAAATGGTGCTCGTTGGACTCGTTGGCGTCTGGCAATTGCTTGCACTTGCACGTTGCTTGCACGTTGCCAACTGCCAACTTCAAACCTACGACCCTTGCAACGCTGGACGCCCAGGCCATCTTAGAATCGCCCCACCACTTCCTCCCGCCCCCCGGCTCTCTACCCCGCCTGGCGGGACTCGTCAGGGGGTGGCGTGAAGGGGTAGAAGTAGTCGTACTGCTCCACCACCCCTGCACACCGCTGCCATGCGAGTTTCGAGGGACCACGTAATCGGTGAATGTCTTCGCCCGTCATGGCGGGTTCCGTCACCGAACAGTAATTGATGGCGGGGTTAGACCCAAAGAAGATGCCGAGGACACAACGAGCAGCAGATGTTCTCCTATATACTGTACCTTTTCTTCTTCTCTCCACATCTCTTCTACACGATCTCGCAGGACAAAAGGACCACCAGGTCGGACTCATCACTTGAATTGTGGGACGAAAGACCCGGACTCATTCTTTGAGCACCATAGCGCTTGCCAAACAGACAAGCGACCCCACACTCACGCAACATTGCCCCATGGCCCACTCTTGTGCCTTCTCCCTTGTTGTCTTCCAGGCGGAGTGGGCGATGGCACAAGAGCGCGTACAAACAGCAGCCCAAAGACCAAACGTCGCACTTGGCGTTGAAGCTGCCTCGGACCACTTCCTCAGTCGGGAGAATGGTGACGATCACAGGCCGTTGCGCCCACACAACTTTTGGAAGGAGAGTTGGTTTCGACCCATCCTCTCCACCTGGGCCCCCATGAATGGCCTTTGTTACTTCTTGGTGGACTCACACTTTGTGGCCTGGATTTGGTTCAACTATTCCCACAGCTGCAAAGTCCTTTGTTATGTTTGATGCTGCCAGGACCGTTTGGACCTGCCGCGGTCGTGGGAGGAGCAAGCCATGCAAAGCCCAGCAACAGGACATCTCAACTAGCCCTTTGGCCAGTTACGCGTGGATTCGCCATATGCGTCTAGACCTCTAGACCTCCAAAAGCAGCACTGACTCGGATGACCCAAACCTAAGACAAGTTCATCCCCCGCTCTACCAGGCTCCCAGGCCGGCGCCATGGTGGCCAGTGTGCCGGCCGGGTCGGCGCTGCGGAAGCTGTCGGCCTCGAAGGAACTGATGGATGGGCATGGCTGAAGACGTGGACGAAGCAGACAGGGACGCAGAGAGAACTCAACTGGCCTTAAAACTGACTCTGGTGTCTGGCATCACTGGAATCTGCTGGACCGACATCCATCCCACCTCGTTCACCGGAAAGAGCTCCGCTAAGCCCACGTCGATGACCACCGCCTGCGTCCCAGCGTTCACTCCGGTCGGCCGCGGACTGAATGAGTGTCCAACTAGGCGCTGGTGGCCGACGCTAGGACGCCTAAGACCTGAGAAGGGTTCTGTGTGGGTAAGACCTAAGACCTAAGAATGTCTCAGACTGTAAGACCTGGTGATGTCTAAGACGCCACTTCTCGGACACCCGTGATGTCAGCCTACCCCCCCCCCCGGGGCTGGTTCCAAAAGGCATCCAGACAAGCTGAGCCAAGTCGCTAGCCCAGAACCAATCGAAACGCACGAAACGCCGCGGCACCTTGGGAGGCTCGACGGACGAAAGCATGATGTTCTCCAGCTTTAGGTCCTTGTGCCTGGGAGCCGCGGACCAAACCAGCCAAGATCGAAGAGTCCGGGAGTTTGGGGTCTCCGGCCCTGTGAAAAAGGAGATCCTCAAAAAAACCAATAGCCAATGACGATCGGAAGGTCATCCACTTCAAGCGGTGCAGAAGCTCTTTCATCAGTGCGTTTTTGACCCTCGACACTGACACTACATATAACTTGCAATTCTGCCGTGATGTTCATGTTACATGGGGGGTGGGGGTGGTGCGGGGTTGGGGTGGGATAACGACGTTGATGTTACATGAGGGTTACGCTGATGTTGACATTACATGGGGGTCACTATGATGTTGATGCTACATGAGGGTTTCTCTGGTGTCAACGTTGCACGGAGGTTACAGTATGACTGTATGACTTCTTACGGGTGGGGGAGGGGGTGGGGTGGGGGGCCGGGATAATCACGTCATTTAATCGATGCAGTATAGGTTGTGAGTCACGGTCTCTTCCCCGGAAAAGTACTTATATGTTCTGTCAATGTCATATTTATTGTTTCATGCGTTATGCTTGGCACAGTGTCTTTTGTTTGGCGCTCCAACTTAGATGCAGATGTTGACCTGACAAGAGCGCTCGGGAAGCTCTGAAAAAAGTTTGGCGGAAACTACTTCGGCCGTCGAAACAAACAAACACGGAAACGGGGTAGAAATGCTGAGATGTGCATTATAAAATGCTCTTTGTGTCCCTAAAACACAGGAAATTCACCTACTGTTCAAACACCAAGGCCTCAAAACACTGAAAGGGTTCACAAAAAAACGAGCTTGCCAAGGATACGTAACTGTAAAAACACTGAGGCCCTAATATCAACGTGTGACCATGTAGATAGGTCAGATAGGTCACTGATGTCCTTCCTGACTTGAGAGGAACTCTCGCCCATTTGGACCAACCAAGACTTCTTTAGCTGAGGGGCATAACTCCTTTGGCATGACAATAGGCCACTCCTGGCTGCTGAGAGGAACTGAAGCTCAAAGGATTCTTCAAAGGTGAAAGCCGCAACAAAAAATGCTCTGAAACACATCAAAGTAGAGGGAGGGAGGGAGAGAGAGAGAGAGAGAATGTACAAAAACCTACACACACCAACTACATATAGAGAGAGAGAGAAAGAAAGAAAGAAAAAGAGAGAGAGAGAGAGAGAAAGAAAGAAAGAAAAAGAGCGAGAGAGAGAGAGAGAGGGGGATGATATAGGTAAACATGTTGTCCACGTGATGCTGATCACCATCAAATCCTTCCGCACCGGTCGACCATCGGTGCTCGCGCGGTCGCCCGCTCGGCCTTCCGAGACCTGACGAAAGACCTCCTGCACCCAGGGCTCCTCTCAGCGCCAACCAGCGCAAGCTAGGGTTGGAAGCAGGGTGGTGGCCCAAGCTGGCTTTCCAGAATAGTGGATCAGTGGATCCACGATCCTCCGATGGTGGATCCAGGCCACGCCGGCTTGAAACAACCATATCCATAGTCCTTCCGATAGGTTTCCGATCAAGATGGAGTATGGACCGCTGTCTGTGGGTCCATCGAGGAACACGGACTTCACCCGGTCAATTGTCAGGTTCCATGCTAGTCGGCCGGGTGGGTAAGCGGTTCTGGATGGTTGTTCCAGAATGGTGACTATAGCAAATAGGAGGGAAATAGAGCAACTGCCTGCTCCCGGTTCCCACTGCCTGCTCCCGTTTCCCAGCAAGAACCAACCGTACATATCATTGGCAAGTATCAACAAACCTGTCATCTGCCATCTGTTCCTGCACCTTGATGGTATGTGAGAGACACCTTTGCTTGACACTGAACAATTCATTAAAGCAATTCCACCCAACCTCACTTCTCAGCCACCACTGCAGCAGCAGCAGCAGCAGCAGTGCTGCTACGCTCTATCCCTCGCACTCAGTTCCTCCAAGTGCTTCTTTTTGCCATATGAGCCTTCCACCGCATCCAGCAAGTCTCCACCTGAATCAGGACAGCAAGCAAGCTAGGACCCCCACCGAACGAATCGTTCGACGGCTGCGAATTCTTCAGAACCAAGCCGGCCTGGGAGCAAATCTGTGATCAAGTACAAGTTTCTCTCATCGGCACAATACTCGAAGAGTCGGAGCACTGCAGGATGATCCAAGGTCCTCAACTTGTCGATCTCCTGCGCCGCGACATCGACAAGTGGTGGCAATGGACAAAACCCTGGACTCGCTGTGTGTCGGCCCGAAACAGGCTGAACAAAAACCAGGTGACACCAAAAGAGCTGGCAGGTACACTGTACACATATATGTATATATTTATATAAATATATCAGCCGCAATAAAAATTTAGAACGCGAAAATCCTGCTGTGGACATGCACGCACCTACCCCTATGTAACATGTGCATCCCAGGCCTCCATGATCAGTTTCAAGGGGTAACCTTCAGGCCAGCACGTCGGTCCACTCACGCGGCCCCCGGACGCGATGAGCCCAACCCACTTGGAGCGCTTGACTTTCATGCTGCGACGTTCCTTCCAAAACGGTTCGAACGAGTTGAAGGGAAAAAACACCCCCACTTGACACCGTTTTGCGTGACACTCTGGAAGGACACTCTTGTGGAACACGCTTGTGCAACACCCTTGCGCCTTGCGCAGCACTCTTGTAGGACACTCTTGTGCGACACGCTTGCATGACACACGTGTTTGACGTTTTTTGTGTGACACTCGTGTAGGCTCTTGTAGGACAGTCTTGCTCCACGCTCTTCAAAGGAACCCACTCACTACTGTAAGATTGAGACCGGCACGGCAGCCATAGAAACAAGGAGCCAAATATATGTACTAAAGCGAAAACAAAGCAAACGAAAAAGCAAAAACAATGTAGTGTTGCATGTGTGTTTCTTTGTTTGTGTGTTTTTCACATGTGTTTCGCTTTGTTTTCGTGCTTTTCTGTTTTTAAGCCAGTCTTTTTAGTTTTTTGTTTTCATTATTTGCATGTTTCTTAGGAACTTACAGTGATTATTGCTGCCGGGTATATAAAAGTTCTCATAAGTGCAGACATGGTAACAGGAAAAAATGCAAAAACAAGAAAAATGCCACAACACAGAAATGTTCTTTGCTTTTGCATGTTCATTTGCTGTTTCTGTGCTGTGCTTTCTTTTGGGGAAAAACCTGTGATGCTTAGTCATGTGTAGCTGCAATTGCTCGACTCAACTGTAAGGAAAATTCTGCGGTGACACTTCATCTAACAACAAGGTTTCACGTCCGTACGGGCCCCCCGTCTTCGTGTGGGCAGGCCCATACAAAGTGGCGTTTCGAGCGTTTCAAAAGTCTAAAAAGAGTTGTAGCGGCCTTTTTTCAGCCGTAGTCGGTACGCTCTCAGGTGTTTCGCGTGTGGTGGCGATACACTCACTGTCTTAGTCCATTGACTCTTCTTCACATGCTTGACGTGTTTCACAGTCCAGCGCTTCGAAGGGTACTTGGCAGCAGCGGCCGACCATGCAAGTGCACCATCTGCACACAACAAAGAACCTGCTCGAACATTCCGAAGCAAGCCTGACTGAGGTCACTATCTCAGCACATAAAAAGTATTTTACTTTTACACCAAGAATCGGGTCCTCCCGCGATGGTGTCTGCGGCGCGCTCTTGTCTGACATCCGGCTGCCAAACTCAAAAAAAAACAACGCCCGACGAACACGCGACTCGACGAAACCACGAACCGGCGAAAACACGAAACGACCCAAACACGAACCGACGTCATTTGCCCCCCCACCCACCCCCCACCCCCCCTGAATGACTGTTGGAACCCTGTCTGCTTCAATAACGTGCAAATTCACGGGGGCCCGTACGGACGTGACACCAAAAACAATGCTTACACACAGGTGTATGTAGGGCACTCTTGTGCCACACTTTGACTGGACACTCTTTGGGGCGACCCTCTTCTACGACACTCGTGTGGGACATTCTTGCTTGACACGCGTTTGCGTGATACTCTTGTGGGAGACTGTTGTTGGCACATTTTTGCTTCACAGCCGGGCACCGACACTCCTGTGGGACTCTCATCTAAGCAGTTGCTAAGCGGCACTCTTGTGGGACAAATGACAAATGCGTTTTACCCATCTTGCGGGACTTCCCCCATGAGCATTCGTGCGGGACTTCCTTCATGCATCAAGCCTACAAAGGAGATTTCATCCAAATCCAAAAGCCCATTGGGAAGTCTCAATGGAGCGAGACTGACCCCCTCCACAGAAAGCCACTCACAGGACAATCCATCTGGCACAACAACAGTCCTGACTCGGTGATGGAAAATGCTAGCCTGCGCCTGTGATCATTTGGGATGACCCTCTCCCCGAACCTTTTCTCAAAGACCCTGAACTCCACTCTTCTCGCTGGCCCCCCTGCGGCAGAGAGACCTCCACTGAGTGCCTTTTGCTTGTCCACCACTTTCATGACACGTATGGTGCCCGTGCTCCGACACCTCAAACAGCTCATCACAGTGAAAACAAAGAGCCAACCTGGTCTTCACCTGTGGCCAGATCTACTTGGGAACAATCCGCGGCACATATGTGGGGAAAAAAGAGTGTTTAATCCTAATGATTTCATTGTCTCTACAGGATCCATTGCGTACTTCACTTCTCTTCCAAACAAAACCATCAAGAGATCATACACAGTGTCGTCCTCCAGACCTCTTCCGGACCTCTTCCGACCGGTCGGCCCCTCTCTCGGGTCGGTCTCTCTCGGGTCTCCGCGCTGCACTTTGCGCACCACGCCAAAGGAGCCCACGCCCACGATCCCTTGCACCCGATAGTCGTCCTCCGGCTTTCCCTGCGGCAGGTGGGGGGTCGATCCGCGCTGCATCGGAGAGTGTGACAGACGTTTCTGACGGGGGGCGGGGGGAGTGCATCCAAAAGCATGGAGAACCTCATAAGACCGGTATTAGAAGGTTCCACCACCACTCCCTTTGGCGCCTGGCAGAAAGACAGAGACTGCAGGACAAGCAGTGATATTCTCACTCCATCTCGTTCCAGATTGAAACCCAAAAGCTACAGTAAGTTCTTGTTCAGGATGCCACTTGGACATGACATACCCAACTTCCTGAAGAAACCAATCAAACAGGTCATAACTCCAGTCGCACCACTCCAAAAAGATACTGCCCCGGCTGTTCTCCGCTTCTCGTCTTCGTTGTTGGCATCTCTCCGGCCTTGCGGCGGCTGATGAACATGTTCCGCGACAGGTCCACCGGTTCCACCTCCGTTCCGGCGGAAGAAGACGCGAGCGCGGCGTGCGTACGGGTGCGTCTTGCGGTGCGTCGTGCGGGAGACGGAGAAGCGGAGAGCGGGAGAGGAGCGGGGGCGTGGCGTCAGCGAATGATGGGGCAGGCATGGGCGGGCTGAGTTGACACGCTGACACTCTTTGTATTCCCTTTTGGCTGGGGCTGTGCCTGAAACTGGGCCAAATGCATCTACCCGCTCTGGGCTCCGAAAGGCTGTAAAGTGAAACAATTCAACAGGGGCCCCCACCCCAACTCCGAGTCCAGCGCATCACACCGCCGCGTTTGGTGTCCGCACCTCCTCCAGTTTCACGATCAGCAGCGCCCGGTAGAGTTCCTGGAACCTCGGCAACACATTCAACGGAACCAACATGAACCAAGCCCCAACAGGAGCACATGCGAGCACTCAACGGAACACCTGACCCCCGGTGCCGCTGTGCATCTCATCCCTCTGCTGGGAAAAGCGCTATGTGTTTTGTAGAAAAGCGCTATGTAGCCGGGACATCTGAATTCATCATCAAAGCCCATTGGTCGAAAGAGTCCACATTGGTCGAAACATGGCAAGGCACTCGTCCTGATTCAGGAACTTGTCCCCATCGGTGTCAAAGCGGTGCATGTAGTGCTGCACATGTCGCTCCGTGAAGCTGCCGATCCCCAGTTCCGCGTTCATCTTCTGCATGCAGCGGCACAACTCTTCGAAGCCTTGAACGATATGCGCAGCAGAAGGCCCAAGATCTCTTGAACAGGGGAACTGGGGAAACATTTGTCAGCTCCATAGGATTCAAATTCACCAAACCATGACATGGCAATATCAAGTTCGTTGATCATTCAACAATCTGAACGCCATGCAGCTAAGCTCGCCGTCACCATTTCCATCAGCACCACAGAAACAAGACCTGGCGGGGACTTTTGTGCGTTTTCAGGCCGTGGCCCCGCCTAGGTCATGCTTTGACAGGCGACAGCGTTTTCCGGGTCTATGTGGACTGCTTGCGCTGGCATGCTCGAGGCATTTGTCCGAAACATGTTGGGGAAACACCTGACAGGACCTGACAGGCCTTTCTCCCTGCTCCAACGACCTCGGCGAGCCTGGAATAATTCTGCAGCTTCTGCTTGTCATCCAAGACCTCTCTGATCAAGCTGGCATCACCTGAGTGAAGCTGCCTCCAAACCCTTCCGACAGCACGACAGTTCACTACAGCTCCCTCGTCACGCCCCACGACAAGCCGGCGCCACGCGCCACCCACGGGCTCGACGATTCGGAGGTTAGTTTGGGTCCACGAGGGGTATGGAACAAGGCGTTAGGACATGTTAGGACACCTAAAGGGACAACCTGTGGTCACCAAGGCGGGCCGTCATGGTACACATCTTCACAGCATCTTGCACCAATTGGAGTGCTGGCAAACACAGAGATGTTGTTGCCAATCCAACAGCGCAAGCGAAAATACTGGCACAGCAGAGTGATGATCTACCTACAGTAAATAGGTTGCTTGCCCGAACGCATGTTATGCAACCCATGTGGGTATGAATCAAGAATGTACCCCAGTTTGCAGGATTCACGAATTGACCCACAGGCAAGTGACCGTTGAGCCTCTGCAGCGTCTCATCTGCCTCCTTTTCCAGCCTTCCATTCCCCGTTGTCTTGGCCGTCACAAGCTTCTTGATTGGCTTTATCTCCTGCACGAACCGCAAGGTGGGCTTTTTTCAGAACTTCAGATTGAACGCGAGCTTCAGCCTGAGGATATTGGATATTGGATGCTGGCTGCTGGCCCGAGACCCTAAATGGTACAAGGTGTCGGAAATCTTTAGGGTACCTGAGAGGGAGTTTCCTTTACTATCCTTTACTGCCTTCAACAACAAATATAGTCTTTGGACTTCTAGGGCGCATACATGAATCCTTAAACATCTCTTGGGAATCGGTATTGCTGCTCCTTGGTTTAGCTGGAGTGCAAATGGCGTGGCGTTTCGGAGCCAAGCCAGGCTTACGAACCAAGCTCGGTCAGAGGGGCTCTGGTACATAGCCATGCTATGCCAAACGATTTTGACACAAGGGGCTACCCCCTCTCACAAACTTGAGTCGAAGTGATGCCACAAAATAACCGATGAATTATGAATTATGCTACGTAGATGTTGATGGCATGGTTAAACAGCGAGATACCAGAGCGAGCAATTCAATCTAGCAACTATGAAGGCCGAACCAGAGCGAAAGACGAAGGGATGCAATGGAAGCCGCTAGCATAAATCAAGGAGCTCTGAGCAAAGGAGTTGAAGGTCGAAGAAAGGCCGAGCTTTCAAGGGTTAACGACAAAGCTGAAATCTGGTTAAATAAATGCCTGTCGTGGCATCCTCCCTGCAACATGGAAACGGCCTGTGAGTAGAGGAAACCGTCCTCCTTTCGGGGCCATGTTCCACTTCCATGGTTTCTTCAAGTATCAAGACATGCCCCGCCGAAAACTGGACCCTGAAAACTCACATGGACCCTTTGTAGAGGGAACACGGTCTTTCAGGGTGCCATCCTCATCCATCCTCAGGGTCCCAGAGTGTACTCTCTGGATTCCCAATCGGGCTCCTCAACACTTCGAACTCTCTCATGTGCCACCGGACTGCGAGAGACACGGGCAGCCTGGGCATGGATGGAGCGGCATTTATGCTGGAACACCTAAGGTTGATGCACTGGCAATTCGTAAAGACCCCTGTCTGGGCTTCAAAGCCTCTCCATATGGGGGAGTTTTGAATCAACAGTCCACGCATAAATTTGGAAAACTCCGATGACGCATGGAGGGGCCACCTTGGAGGGCACTGAACTGGTAGAAAGTCCAGTTTCGAGGGTCTAGTCTAGTCAGTCTATCAGTCTATCATCGTTTCAGAAAACTTGAAACTAGTGAATACCACAACCCTCCCAATCCAGCCACGTCACAACTGCAGACACTGCTCTTGCCAAGGCTTTAGGCGATGGTGGAGCACTGATCCTCGACGTGGGATGCTGTCTGGGGCGGGGCAAAAGAAGGGTGGCTGCCTGCAAAGAAATCGGCAAAGAAAAATCCTCTCGTTAACCTGACTTCTTTGCTGGATGCAACGCTTCCTAAGCCCTCGGCCGCTTGACTGGTGAGTTGCCCGCCGACTTCGGCGCGCTGGGTGTTCCGGGGACGCTCTTCGGTGCTGGCGTGCCAGGGGCGCTCTTCGGTGCACTAGGGGTGCCAGGAACGCTCCTGGGACCACTGGGTGTGCCAGGGCCACTCTTGGACACTGGTGGTGTCATCAGCTTGCGCTCCACAGGGCGGCTACCTGTCCAAGCGTCGGATGAAAGAGGAGGAAAAAAGAACACACAACAAAAGCACAAGAAGGGATTTTGCAAACGTCTTCAAACCTTGATCTACCTTCGCTCGTCACACCCCAGAAAATTGCAGAACAGTTTCTCTGCCTTTGGCGGGACTTCCGCCAATCCCATCGCATTCTTGGGCCAGTTGGCCAGTTGACATGTTTCACGGCTTTCACGGCTTTCAGGTCTACATCTGAACATTCTCAGACTCATGAAGCATGATGCTAGCCACCTCCATCCAGCTTTGTTCCTTGGCCGCTCGTGCAGGCCCAAACGACCCAAAGGGCCCCTCCGGGCCCTCGGCCCTTCGAATGCTGCACGCGACATGGGCGTCGTTGACAGAGAGGTCCGGGGTGCTTCGTGGCCCTTCGGGTTCAGGACCATCCTGGTGCTGTTGGAGTGGCCTCCAACAGTTGCATGGTTGCAGTATGAGGAATGCTCGGCCGAGCATTCTGGTGTCGACTGAGCTTTCAAAGGATGGAAGCCAAGAACTGACACGAGGATGAGGAGGAAGAAGACTCGTCATCTCGGCATGATTCACGAAGATCTCATTGAAGATGACAGTTGGCGTGGTTCTCCTGACAATCACATGGAATCCTTCCAGGCCAGAACGCTTTGGCCAGGGCCTTCGGTTGCTTTGGAGCGCAGACGAAGCCCCAAACGCCGCACGGTCCGATCGATGGGACCTTGGTCCTGACGCAGGCCGCTGGTCGGAGACCCGCGTTGCGAAGAGGTGTCTCTGTTTGAACCAAACGCCGTGCTTGCTTGGTGTCTGTGATCGATGGTGTCTGCGCAAGCTCAAGATGCATTGTCCAGAATGATGTGAGCTCAAAAGATGCTTCAATGTCATCCATCAGAAAATATCATTGCCATCCCAATACAGGTACCGTCAGGTTCAACACACCACCCTCTGGATGAACAGGGTTTCAAGCTGCAAACACTGGCTCAAATGCCAGCCAGGGCAGAACAAGGAATCTCCTCACCGCGGGAATGGCAACAATGTTTCGTGCTAGCTCAAAACATGGGAGACGGCCAGCAAGTCAGACAGGAATTAGCCCAGGCAAGGATGGTAATCATTGGTTCAAGCTGTTGGCCATGAGTCAAATCCATCCACGTGGCCTGATGAATAGGAAACACGTCTCTTTTTGCATAGGGATTGCTCAGCAAGGGATTGGAGTTGGCAAAGGCAAAGGGTGTCCAGGTTTCTCACCATCCATGCAAGGAATATTGCTCACGCATACACAAAACCAGCATGTTTCAAGAGCAACGTAATTGACACCTGTTGGGCCAAAAACAGGAGGGTTTGGTGTAGAGCACTCCATCAGACTGTGATCTCAGGCCACCGAGACGTCTCTATTCCTTTGGGACACCGGAGGTCGCCGGCGTTGGTTCCCAGTGACCAGATCAGACATTTGTGCTCGCTCGCTCGGACGTCAGGTTGCTGTTCCAATGTGTTTCGAAAATCCTCCAGCCGTGATTCGTGCAGTCCTTCATGAACCTTGCAAAGCTCTTTTTCTTGTCCGTCCCGATGAAAGCACTTGGAGCAGAGATGGGTCTTGAACAGCAACGTTGCGATTTCGAGTCAGTCACGCATGAACGTCCACGTGCTGCCTCCCTCCACAATGGGAAACCAGCATTGAAGAAAGGAGTTTGGCTGAATCACTGATGCTAAATCTGTTTCCGATCCACTGTCAGGACCAAGTGACCTCTGGGCAAGAGATAAATGCACGCACACGCGCATCGATATATGTCTCATCAGAGAGTGAGAGTTCTTGATGGTGGATGTGTCAGGTGGATTGGTGGCCGTTGCCAACTGGCAGATTTGTTTAGTGATGTCATCACATGTTCCTCGTTCTGTGATGAAACTTGCTTCCCTATCAGCCTCAGGGTGTGACACGTTGGCATGGAGGTGTGTAGCCAAACGGGGTCAAGGAAAGGAGGTCCGATCCAACCATCCACCAGTGAACGAAACGAGAAAACCACGGGTTATGTGATTCGCTTCGTTCTCGGGCCGATGCACTCAAATCGCCTCAAAATGACCAGAGGGGTGCCATTCCTGTACAGCATCCAGTTGCAGAATGATTAATGAAAATATAGATGAAGAGCTCCTTCAATTCAAATGGGGAGCATTCTATTTTTGTTTATCACGAGTCTACATGATGCTCCGCGTGATCTATTTTTGGGGGGCTATCAGTGTGATACTGGTAGCCCAAACAACAGGTGGATGCGGACCACCACCGACAAAGCAAGCAAAAACGGGTCGAAGTCAAAGGCGCTCTCAAAGCGATCTTTTCCGTGGTCCAAGCGCCGAGTAGCGCTCGAAGGTCGTCGAGCAAGTGGCACCACCTATGGCGCCCAGTGCAAAACACGTAGCGAACCGCCTTCAAAAGGCGTCAGGCAAAAGGGTCCCCTAAATGGCGGCGGACATGCATCGGTGGCGAATCATGCTTCAAGTGGTCATGAAAACAACGCTGAAAGTGAACCGAATCACATGGGCGAAAGGTTTTCGCCTTAGATGCATTCCACCGCTGCATCATGGAGGACCAGGTCTCATCTTCGATGAGCTCAGGGTCAAATTCCGGTTGGCTCTCAGGCAGCTGCCGCTTCTTCTTCTTTGCGGCAACAAATCCAGGGTCGTACTTCACGTTCCACAGCTGACCTTTGGCCATGAACATCCTCATCAGGTCGGCCGCGCTGGCCTTGGTGAGGCCGTCAGCTAGTTGGGCATCTGAACTGACCCAAAGCAGGTTGGTCTTCTGCTTGGTCATGTTCTCGCGAACTGCGAGAAGCTCGAGCGCCGAGTACTTCTCCTTCATGGAGAAAGCTGCACTTGCTCCATCGCCTTGGTGAAAGGCATCAAAGGCGCTCTTGGCGTCGATGACAGCTGCTGCGCTCACCTTGGTGGTCGTGAGCTCGGGATGCAACAGGTTCATCTCGTAGCCAAGGACCCATAAAGCTCTGCAAAACATGAGCTCTTGCTCACCTCTTGAAGCTCTGCTGCCAAGGAGCTGCGCGCTGTGCGGTGCAGTTTGCCGCTGCGCCAGGCCACCAGGTTGACTGGTGATCTTTCACCATCCAGGATCCTCTTGTGGCAGAGACCCACCACATAGCCACCTGTCGAGGCCAAATCTGGCCTGTTGGCCACAGCTGCATCTGTCCAGACGATCATCGTCAGGTCGCCATCTGACATGGCGTCGAGCTGCTGAACTTTCACCGACAAATCTCTTTGCGAGTAGACCTCGCGTACCAGTTTGTTGATCTGGCGGAGCACATCCTTGGAGTGCCGGCTGTGGGGCAGCATGGACTGCAGCAAGGAAAGGCGGGCAGCATGGTGAGGTGCTGTCTGACTGACACGCCACTGAATTGAGCCGAGGACGGCCCGAGCTTGTGAGAGCTCTTGAGGCGTCACCTCAGTGGTGGACTTGTCCAAGTCAATCTGCTTGATCTGGGAGGCATACTGGGAGTGGTCCAGGTGGAAACTCTCGTTGCTCTGTTGATGAATCTCCACTCCACAATGCAGATAAGGATCTGGTTCCCAGGGACTCCAGTTCAAAGCTTGATGAAACTTCTGTAGCGTTTCATGCCACAAAGCATTGTCTTCGTTGCCGGTGACAATGAAGTCGTCAACATGACTGGCAACGGCGCGATACCACTCACGGGGTGCTGAAACAAGGCCGTAGGCAGCTCGCAAAAGGCGGACGGTGTCCTTGGGGCCACAGTTCATCTTGTCACCAAGCTCCTTCACAGGGAGCGCAAACACTCCTCGGCTCCGTTGAGATTCGGAGCCCTGGAGAAAGGCAGCTTTGGCGTCAGCCTTGATGGTGCGCCAATGGCGATGACACGCCAAGTTCAGCAACAGCATCTTGCTGCGTCTTGAAAGAGTTGGCGCAGCCTTGTCCAGGAACTCTTGGTCGGGGTCAGAGAAGCCCAAGATGACGATGCGGGCTTTCGCTTTGACACGGTTGGGCTGATTTGGATCGTCCACGGCCTTAAACACTAAGACCCACCTCATTTTCATGAGCCTGGACTTGGGCACTGATGCTCCAGCCTTTTCACAAACTCGATTGGCGAGCCAGGAGTCCACCTCTAACATCTTTGCCTCCAGCATAGCTTGCCTCTGGACGGGATTCAGCTTGTGCCAAGCCACTTCGCAGCCCTTCTTGACTGCCTTGGAGGTAAATTTCTTTGGCTCTTTCAAGATCTGCCTCCACTCATCTTCATTGGCCGGCGCGTCAATGGTCACCGACAGGATGAAGTCATTCTCCATGTTGGAGCACCAGCCAATCAAGTCAGGGTCTTGGTACTTCTTCGGGAACTTGGCATGGTGTGGTCTATCCTCCATCTCATGTCGCTTCCTCTGATGCTGGAAGCTCTTTTCGGCAGAAGCTCTGCTTTCTTCCATGGGAGCGTCAGGAGGTTCGACAGGATGAAGTGGCATGTAGGAGGGGTCGTTCAGCAAGCGATCGATGTCCAGCTCATCTGAATCATCAGGGTGCATACCTTCTTTCAAAGTTGGATCCATGTGCACCTCCGAGTCAGGAAGAAGTTCTTCAGACGAGGAGCTGGCAGGATCATCAGGATCTTCCTCTTCTCTTACTGTTTTCAGCCTCTTGCCATCTTGATGAAATGGGCGAAAGGTTTGTCTCCTTTTGGCTTCAAATCGCTCAGCCTTCGAAGTTGTGAGGTCCTCAAAGGCGCCCTTCTGGAGTGAAGTGCTCATCATCGTAAAGGTCCATGGCATGGCCATCATGCCAGAGGAGTTGGCAATCAGCAATTCTCGTTCACTGCCGTGCCGAATCTGGTCGATGTGAGCCTTAAGCAAGCGTCCACAGCTTACCAACCAAATAACGCTTGAGGGCATTCGAGAAGTGCTGGAACTGTCCACTTGTCTCACAGGCCAAGACTCTAGCAGGCCCATACCAGCGAGCAATCCGCATGCGGGGCATGTCCACATCCTCGTTGGCAGGAGCCCGTCGAGGAACCTTATGGCGCTGGTAGTAGACAACATCTCCAGGTAAGAACTGTCGAGCAGGCTTGGAGCGGCTGTTCTTCGCTCGCGAAATGCGAGCATCAGCACTGAGCTTGTTGTGAAGATGTTCTGCTTCAATTCAGAGCCTCAGACTTTCAGCCATAGCGTGTCCAGGTGTTCCTTCGGAACATGCCGCTGCAGGATTCACTGACACGCTTTCCAATCGCCCAAATGCCCATTGCGCAGGAGCAAAACCACCCACGCGAACCACATGGTTGTGAGCTTGGACCATCGCACTTGCCGCACGTCGAGGTTCAATGGGCTCGTTCCGGAGAAAGGTTTCCATCTTCCAGCGAAGCTCTCCAATCGCTTTCTCAACAGCTCCCGTGGCGGCATGATGTTCAGCAGGAACATGAGTCATCTCAATGCCCCGCTCGGAGCACCACATTGCGAGAGCTGTGCCGCGAAATGCCCCTTCAGCATCACATCTAATGCGTGCCGGGTAGCCGAAGATCTGGCACCAAGATTCCTCCAGAGTAGTGATGACCTCTGGGGTTGAAATGTTCTCAGATTCATCTTCATGGTGAACCTTGATCTCTCTCACCACGGCAAAGGAGCTAGCCTCATCGAGCAGGAGGAGGAAGTGATGCACCTGCTTAGCATGCCTGAAGTAGAAGGCGTCCATTTGAAGTGTCTTCCAAATGGTATCCTCTCGCTCCAAAGACACCTTGGTGGCAGGCGTTGCCGTTCTGCTCTCTTGACATTCAGGGCAAGCCAACTGTAGAGCTGCGGCTTTGAGTTCTTCACTGGCTCCTCTCGCACGTAGGAGCTTCAGCAAGGCACGGTTGTTTGGATGGCCGCAGAGACGATGAAGCTTGCGCACTGTCTCCATGAGATGTTGTAGTTCCTGAGGTGTGAGCTTCTCCAACACCTGGGGATCAGGCTCAACTTCAGCAATCCCTCCAATGAGTTCGGAGGGTTCCAACATGCCTTTGGCAGCAATGTGGCACAACTGCTTGGTGTAGTAGGCGGAGGCCCGAGCACGTTGTCCAAGGCAAGGGACATGGTGATGCGAACCATCACAAAGTCTTGCCAAACCAGCCAAGGCTCGTGCTCTTGTGGTCATAAACCTCCATGGCTTCTTCACAGGACCATCTGGAGACGTGAGGCCAAACATACAGCCATCGCCAAGCACTTCGTGAGCACGGTCACATTGATGAAGAGCTTCCCAAAAGGCAACCACTTCGGGAAGTTGCCATGCCTTGTTGAATCTTGGCCATTCCCAGGCGATCTCGCCATCCATGGAGAGGTGTTCTTGTAGAACTCGTAGTCCACCTCGAAGAACTTTTCTCGCATGCCTTTTCCGGTAGGCACTCTTAACTTTTGCTTCAGGGGTGCGTTCATTGAGAGCTTGAACTGCCGAGGTAGGGCCACAAGGAAAGCTGACCCAAATCCAACGTGGTCGATGTTGGCGGAGTAGTGCCAAAGTTCGCTCAACTCCCTCAGGCTTTGTCAGGTCACATTGGTTGTGTAACCCAGCACGCCCTGCTCGCCCACCTTGCCTGATAACTTCCTCGGTCAACAAGCTGGTGGGGTCACAACACAATTCCATGACGTCCCATTGCTCCAGGGACGTGATTCCGCCATGAGCTTTGAAGATCATATCACCTTCTTCAACCAGCTCATTCATAGCTTCCGTCACGAAAGCGAACTCCTTTCGTGGGAATGGAGTCATGGTGCGATCTTCACCTTCAGGTTCACCAGGTTGTAGTCCGTCCGCTGAGAAGGAATCAAATGCTTCTCCAACCTTCATGCCATGGGCATTCTCAGTCTTGAACTGGTTCGGAGGGACTTTGACATTCGGTGGAACCTGGGCATTCTTCAAAAACCTGACATTCGGTGAGATCAGCTTATTCGAATTCATGAGGATGTCGTCCTTGGAGGTCAAGTCACCCGGTGGGTCCTCATCGTCGTAGCGACCTCCCGACTCCTCGCTGTTCACACTGACCGGGCGGAGACTGGCGACCACGATCGGTGAGATCGATCCTCGTACTCCACCTGCTCGGCCGGAAGGTCTGCAGCTCGACGGGATTTGCTCCCAGGCACCTGTGAGAGTTCCTCTGCATCTGCTGGGGACGCCCTCTCTGTTGCCGTAGGTGTTCCCGGACTGGAGGTCACATTGGTGCTCGGAGTTGGAGGAGCATAGTACCCTGTCGCTGCTTTGCGAGCACGGATGTGATCGAGCTTGGTGAGCAAGGAACGCTCGGCTCCGTCCAGGCCCACTGCCTGATTCTTCAACAAGGGGTTGTATGGAGCCTTCTCTCCAAGTTCCTCGATCTGGTGCTTCGTGTCCTCCGGCAAGGGACCGGCCTGCCTGTGCAGACCTGTTGCCCCGTACGCCGGCGTGTACGACAGGCGGAGGAGGCACTTCGCACAGCCGACCCATTTTGCATGGCCGTTGGAGCCCGTGACCGATCCTTTGTATGCTGGAGCAGGATCGTGCTGACCATGGCACGGTGGTCCCAAGGTCCTGGGATCTCGTGGATCGCTGAGCACCGTACGAGTCTCGTCGTACCTGTCGTCCTTGCTGGACGTAGCCTTCTTCTTCTCCTTGGTGGAGGCTGCTCGGTGGCTCTTGGCCTTCGAAGCAGCAGCTTGGGACATGGCTACCCAGCAAGGCGAAGTTGACCGCGGTGGAGGCCAGAAGGGTCAGAGCCTTCCACGACATTGATGTCTCTTGAGCCTCAAGGTCAGCATCATTCGCTCCAGAGGTCAAGGGTGGTCTCAAAGAAGTGGAGGTGGTCGAAGAAAAACGAACTGAAAAACATTCACTCAAAAACTCATCTGCAGCATGCCCGTGAAGACTCTTGTACATGTCCAACTCAAAATCATCAAGCAAAACCGACAAACTCGAAGTGGCGGCATGTGAAGACTGTTCAGACTCATGGATCATGAAACATGACGACGAAGAAGGCTGCGAGCACATGTATTCCTCAGACTTCTTTGGTGCAGTGTCGGTCGTGAAGAGGATACGGGTGCCCTCACTCAACCAGTCATGGCTGAGGTCCATCGCCAAATGCCCCGAAGAGGATTTCCTCAATGGAACAAGGAGGGAGGCATCAATCGCCGTCAGGACCATGGCAGATCTGCCACAGTCGATGAGCGCACCAAGTTTGGTGAGCGTGCGAATGCCAACCAAAACAGGGACACCTTGAGCTTCCAAGGTGTAAATGCCGAGCGACAGGCGGTGGTTGCCCAAACGCTGAGGCAAGAGAATCATACTCTCAGACTTCTGGGTCACGCCGTTGCCGAACTTGAACATCTTGTTGGGCACATCAACCACCTGGAATCCATCGACATCAGATCCCGACTGGTGCCGTTTGTGCATGATCCATTCCAGGGCAGCCAACCCTGAAACAGTCTCTGTCGCTCCTGTGTCGAGCACTCCATAGCCTTCCACCTCTGGTGAACCAATCTCATCAGCGACCATGATCTCCAGAGGCCGCTCAGGATGTGAAAGAGGGTGGCAAACAAAGGTCTCCACAGATTCGTGCTCATCAGTCACCATGAACACCTTGCCACCTTTGCCGCTCCGTGACCGACGAGGACACGAGCGGTAGTCATGATCTTTTGCTCCACAAATGAAGCAGCCTTGGTAGCCAGGGGATCCCGGCTTTCCGCCACCTTGGATGGCCATCACCGGTGAAGATGCCATAGGCGAAGTCGACGATGAAGGTCTCGAACCAAGCCCTTTTCCTTTTCCACCTTTCTTTCCAAAAGATGGTTTCCCTTTGAACTTGCCCTTGGGGAAGAAGCCTCGAGAAGCATTCTTGGCATGGGTCGCACGGCGGCTGTCCTGGAAAGACCTGATCTTCTCTTCATAGGCCGCGTAGGCTTCCACAATGGGCTTCGATTCCTCAGGGGAGCTCCAAAGAACAGAGTTCCAAACATCGGCCTCTGACCATGACCAGAACGCTCCACTGGCATCTTGGTGATACTCACCATCGGCTTCCAAGTTCCACCACAAGTAGGCTCCTGGGCTTGAAGGATCTGAGGCCCAGAAACCATCATCAGCTGCAAAGGTCTCCTCAATCTCAGGTCGTGAGGTCGAAGAGCTCTCCCAGGTTGAAGTCTGAAAGACCTGGTCATAGGACATACCACCAAGCCAATGGATGTCATTCTCCAGGAGGTCTTCATCTTCACATTCACCAGTGAGCATGAGGCCCCATTCGCCCTCATACTCGACCCAGAACTGCGGACGGGTCTTACCTTTTCCATGGCCTTTTGGACGGCCTTCGCGCTCTTTTTCCACAAGACGAAGCTCGTCTTCTGCTCCTCTCAAGCCCTTTTCGATGTCGTCGGCCTTCAAGGAATTGCCAATGCTTGAGAGGACATTCAAACGCTGGGCCGCATTCAAAGAGGACTTGCGCAGCATGATCCAACCAATCAGTTCACTGGGAAGCACTTCAGGAAGGCCAACATCCAGGTCGTCCCAAAAGTGGTCATTCTCGGGGTCCTCCTCGCTGTCAGACGGGTCGGAACGGGAGCCCCGGGAAGGAGAGTGGTAGTCCTCCTTGCCTTTGCCAGATTTGCCACCTTTGGAGGAGTGGCGAGTTGGAGATCTCGGAGGAGGCGGCTCTCCATCTTCTTCATCATCTTCAGCAGCTCGCTGAGCTTCCTCAGCTTCAGTCCCTTCTTCAGCTGCTGGCTCGGGAGATGAACGTGCCCTCGAGGATGGCAATGATGTAGTTCCAACACCCTTCAAATCAGGGAGATCTCCTCGAGCACGCTTCAAAGCTCGTTGCAGCTTCCGGTACTGCTCTCGGACTTGAGCGCACCAAGTTGCCATGGATGTACCTGGCATACGGCGTAGCCGCAACAGCAAAGCTTCAGCCTGAGAGCCAGCGTCAGGGATGGGAACTCGAGCAAGGCGTTCCTCCAAGAAGGATATCAAGTAGCGAGCACCATTAGCCTGGGTCAGGGCCTTGTAGTCAATCTCCTGCGTAACGACCCAGGCGCGTCCCGAGAGCTGGGACACCAGGTCGGGTCCAAGTTGTGCTCGTCGACGGCGTCGCGTCTTTTCAAGTGCCAAGCGGACCTTTCTCACATAGTCCGGCCAGGTGCTAAAGTCACCGTCCCAGTGACACCTCAAGGACGTGTCTTTGTCCTTTTCAGTCATGACTGAACTTCAGGATGAGGTAGTCGAGAAGGAGGGAGGTGTGCAGGACAAAGTACGAACCAACCCAAAACAAATGAGCCAAGGTCCAAAGCCAAGCTAGCCAGTGCCGAGGCGGTCCTCAATGTCTCGTGCAATGAGTCTAGCCACCTTTCAACAAAGGGTCACCAGCCACTGTCCCCTGGATCCAAAACTCGTGCACCTCTTCTTGAAGAGCTCCGGAGTGATCCTCTCGCTCTCCAAGGTAGCCCGAGCCTTGCAGGCTCCGCTACCAGTATCAGTGTGATACTGGTAGCCCAAACAACAGGTGGATGCGGACCACCACCGACAAAGCAAGCAAAAACGGGTCGAAGTCAAAGGCGCTCTCAAAGCGATCTTTTCCGTGGTCCAAGCGCCGAGTAGCGCTCGAAGGTCGTCGAGCAAGTGGCACCACCTATGGCGCCCAGTGCAAAACACGTAGCGAACCGCCTTCAAAAGGCGTCAGGCAAAAGGGTCCCCTAAATGGCGGCGGACATGCATCGGCGGCGAATCATGCTTCAAGTGGTCATGAAAACAACGCTGAAAGTGAACCGAATCACAGGGGCATGTGTTGGCCCCGATGTGATCACGCCGCAAAGCGCACCTCAGGCCTGTGACGGTTGATGAACAAAACTACCCCAGGCCGAGATGTCACAGCCTTCTGGACCGGGGGACCGGGGGGTAATCCGCTCCATCACGCACAAACACGAGCGCCGTTGGCGCCGCGCCTCCCTTGGTCTCGGCAGGCGGCACCACCAGGCGAGGCGCTGCTCGGAGCACAGACACCGGGCTCTGGCCACGCCTCGGTCGAGGGCGGCAGGTCGAAAGAGAGGCGAAGACCAGAAGAGCGTGGATGGGAAGAGATCGAAGTGGTTTTTGATGTTTTTTGGGGCTGCAAACGCAATGCCTTTTGGATCCTTTAGGAGTCCCCTCGAGACTCCTAGCGTGATACTTCGTGTGACTTTAGTCCGTTTATAGTCTTCTGCTGACTGGGGCGAAACATGGCAAAGACCACTGAGAGAGGACTTGATTTGCTGTGACTGTTCACCCAATAGACCAAAAGCCCAACCAGTCTGAGACGTTTTGTTGTCCAAGTCGCGGCCTTGCTGCGAGGCCCTGCTGGGTCTTTGCCTTCACAAGTTCCCTTGCACGGGCAGCCACAGTCGGCTCAACACCTGGCATCGTCGTCGGCATGTTTTCGGTCTCAACGTCATGACGATTCATGACGATGGTATTTCAGAGCCTAATCCACAACTCTACTCCAAGTCTGCAATGGGTCCGAAGGGTCGGCATGCAATGGGCAGGCGGCAGCCGTGGGGCAATTCCTCTGTCTTGCCTGGATTCGTTCTTCCCCACTTAGCTTGCTGCGAGAAAAAAACCTGTGACTCGCGACTCCTTATAAATCGCAAGGGCAATCCGGCAGGAATTCTTGATTCCTTCCTTTGGGTTCGGACACAAACAAGAAGCTACTAGGGGCTCCCGACATCGCTACGAACGGAGCATTCTTGCTACTACTCCCAAGCGGCCGCGCCCACAAACCCGATCGGCGTCCGGCCGCGCCCACCTGTTTTCGAGCGCACCAAGATCTTTTGGTTGGAGCCACCGGGTCGTGCCTCGGGAGACTTGGCTCGGGCCACACCTGGCGGGCCAGGAAACTCCAAAACACAGTGCAAATCCCATGCATCTTCGCTGGCAGCGCGAAGAACTCTTTTTTGCTTCGTCCGGCCGCCGGGCTACCCCACCCAAAGGGATCCAATCCTCCCTCAAAAAGGAAGTAGCCCTTGGAAAACGAAGGAAGACGACATTCCTCCCACACCAGATGGCCTTACCGGGGGGGCGTTCAATTGAAAGAAGTGGTCCATCACAGCCTCTCTTTGTGTCGAAAAAGGCTCTGCCCTTCCGCCCGCCCTCTCCGGTGCAGCTCGCCCACCTGAGGGTTTTGGACCAGACACGACGACCTTGCCCTTGGCAAAGCCACACGAACGCAGCACGGTCAGCGGAGAAAGTGACGAAGCAACGGAAGGACATCAACCCCAGAGCCCTCGCATAAATATACCAAAGTTGGTGGCATAGATGAGGCCTGTCCCAAATCGTGAGAGTTGATGTTGTGTATATAACATGCTCGCATATGCGTGCATGTGCATGCGCATATGTAGAACAAGAATGATATATATATATATACACATATCCAGTATCCACATATCACATATGGGGAGGTTGTATCGGGATGTTGTCATGAGTGTGTAGGGGTCATTGAGCGTGTCATGATAAAAATCCCCATATCACATATATATATATATATATATGATATCTATACATATATATATATGTATGTATAATACTGTATATGACGTGTGTGTGTGTGAGTGTGTGTGTGTGTGCTTCTCCAGGCGCTTGCCCAGGCGCCGCGTGGGGCTGAACCTCGGTCTTGGAGGTTTTTCTCACGTCCTTCTCGGTGCCACGGCCTCCGCCGAATGTGATACATGACTAGTAGCTTCTCAGCTACTAGTAGCTTCTTGACATTGTTACGTGCGTAGCGATGGTTTCTTGTAAATCTAGGACATGACATGAGAATCTTTCTAATGAAAGAAGCCGATCTTCGGAGTCCAATCAACACATGAATTTCACTCCTCAGTTTCCGTCTCGCACCCTGGCCCTCTTGAGAGACGGGTGCCTGATCCGACGACTCGCGGGTCGCAGACGACTCGTCGGTGATCTGACGACGGGCGCGCGACGTGGCGAGTCACCTGCTCCACAACCACCCTTTGTTACTAGTAGCTTCTGGTTGCTAGTAGCTTCTTGCTAGTAGTACGGCCAGGAGCCCCGTTCGTAGCGTCCGATCGCTCCGTTCGTAGCGATGCCAGGAGCCCCTAGCAGCTTCCTCAGCATCGAAGGTGGCTGAGCACTTCACGGATCTTCACGGCATCCCGCCTCTGGAATTTCAAATCTCAACCAGGTTGGGGGTCCATCCTCAGGCGTGCAAACAAGGCATGAACCGCTCAAGCACCTGCCGAAGCCAGGTAGTAATTAGGTCGGTTCACCGCACCCACATCGCCCAGATGACTCAGACCTTTCCGTTGAGGATCTTCTTGGCCGGATTTTGCACCATCCCTTCCCCCCGTTCCCCACGCACGGGGAACCCGCGTGGCTCTTCTCTTCCAGGCGCCGCCAGGAGGTTCTGTGCCACGGAGGCCGTGGAACTCACCGAGTCCCGGCGAAACCTGTGAGGGAAACTCCACGGAGGTCGAGGAGGCCCAGGAGGAGCTTGGAGGAGGTTGGAGGCCCAGGAGGGTGGCCTGGGTGAGGGGGGGGAGGATTTATAGTCAAAGGTGCCCACCTCCAAAGGTGGCCTTCTGGGTGTCGACCTCCATTCTTAGCATGATCATGTACCGTATGTCAGAAGGAAACCCGCCACGGGGACGGTCCAAGTGGCCTCCACTGACCCATGCGGGGATTGGTCGGTCTTCCACACATTGCGCGCCCAATCTGTCCACCAGACCCCTTGAGAGATCCATCTCGCGAAACCGAGGCGTCACCATCCGCGCAGGTCACGAGTCGTCACGACCTCCCCCGCGGCGTCCGCGCGTTCGCGCGCCGGGGGCGTTCGAGCTGTTCTCGCTCCGAAAAGCTCCGCTGTGGAGGTGGAGTTGTCGGGCGAAGGCGGCGCCGTGGAGAAGGAGGAGCCGATGGTGTCCCTCCGCTCCTGGGCGTGGTCGAGCCGGGACAAGGAGCCCCATATCTGCCCCGAGAGGTTCCACATCCAGCGCTGATGGTGATGTTCAGCGTCGATGGTCCATGCCCGCAGGAAATGCAACTATCTCTAAAGTCTGAGCCCCAAACCAGCAGCTTTCCACGGATGTCTGCCCAAGTGGGCTGACTTGGCTTTAGCCCTGTGGCGAGCGCAGCAGGCACGGCCTGGAAGCGGCGGCAGCTGAGGTGTGCACGTCTTCCGAATTCTTCAGGTGTGTCGTCCACACAGTGCGCATGCTGTATCAGATATACCATTCCTTGGGCCCACCCTCCGTACCACCCACCTCAAAACAATATTTTGAGGTGGTTGGAGATCTCAATATCCGCATCAAATTATTTCTGGACTCTCAGGGTCTGACAAATAATTTCAAGAATGTCATGACATTTTCCAACATAGATCCGACATGAGACCATCTAGGTGGGACCCACCCCCCCTAAAGTTGACCAAAGTTGACTCAGCTCGGATTACCACGCACAGTGTCATTATGGGTAGTTGAGTAGTCAACCTCAACCACACTTCAAAAATCTTATTATTGGGGCTGCTGCTGCTGCTTGCTATAGTCCCACCGTCCCAGCTCTACGTGGATAACACGAACCCCTAAGCCGCTGATGTTTGTTTATGCCGGTTCTTCCTTGCTATTTTTAACCAAATCTTCAAAAACCCAGCGGATTTGCACATTGTTTCCCATCCCTTTTCCTCTTCCACTGTTTCCTTGCTGTTTGTTCTGTCCTTTTCCACCTTTTTCTCCCGTTGGTGCCATTTAATGGGTGGTTGCGTAGTCACTGAGCCACCCACCCCCTCAAATAAATTTCATTATAGAGGTTGTATGAGGTTGTACCCTGTCCTTTTCCACCTAGTTTCCTGTGATTGAAGCCCATTTAATGGGTGGTTGTGTAGTCACCCACCCTCTCAAATAATTTAGTTATATATATTGGATTTGGTGGCCATGTTCCTGTTCTTCCACCTTTCTCCCTGTTTCCAACTATCTGTACATGTTTTTGGGTCAACATTATGTTCCTTTTCCTCCATTTCTTCCTATTGAGATGGCAGGTGTCCTCGACTCGCAAACATTCTCAGCCTGTAGACTTTGATTCGATGCCTTCCAAAGCATTGGACCAAGTGTGCCTCGCCATGTTTATGAAACAGTTTTTTTCTTTCTAGCTTTGATCCACAAAACGTTGTGCCCCGAGGCTGTAACTCTGAGGTGCTTGTTTGCAAGCTGCTGCTCTGTCAG